TGCTGCTACAAGCTGACAACGTTCTCAGAATCTAGCTAGTACTTTCCTGGTTATGTCTGTAAAACTTGAGAGCAGCGGAGGCCAAAAATCAGGATTACTGGCACCTACATAAATCAAGGGTTGGTGGGAGTTGAGGATAAGTAGTTAGAAATCACATTAATTTTTTAATTTTTTTTTTAGTTGTTATAACCTGGGTTATCATCACTGGTTATTTAGGTAAAAACATTAGGGTCCAATTCAGTAGCTGTCTCTGTTCAGATGCTGGGATCTGCCTGCCCAGACCGAGATGCATGCAGAGTCTGTCTTTTTAAATCTGTGATTTTTTTTTTTAACCTCTCAGTGTTCTTTTCCAAGACAGTCATGTTCCAAAAGAAATGATGAAACTACACTAGAATATTAAAAAAAATCCTTGGCAGATCAGGTTTAAATGAAGTTCAGAAAGAAAAGCTTGTTACTTCATTTGATGGTTGCATACTGTACTTAACTGACTGCTGCTTTTTTTTGAAGTTACTGACGTTTTATTGGCAGCCATTGTCTTGCTGAAGTCAGCACTCGCCAACAAATTCCCATCCTGCTCCCTAGCTGGTGTAGTAGAAAGAAAAGAGCATAACTGTATAAAGCGCACAAACTTTCCTGTTAACCCAGTATCAGAGCAGAGTAAACATTGACTTAAAATCTTCATAACTTTCCTTGTACTGCAAGTATTTTAAAAAGAAAAATATGAGTCTTACAAATCTGAATTATATGGTGCTTATTCATTGATTTAAAAGGTATTAAGAGAAACAGCCATATCAAATATTGGTTTCATTTCCCACCCCACCCCTCCCCTTCTGTTTTTTTTTGTTAAAGGATGGCACACAAGGAATTCCTCACAGCAAAACTGAAAAATTTTCTAAGGGAAGACAAGATTCAACTTTGGAAGCCCCCATATACCAATGAAAATAAAAAAGCTGGTGTGGAATTGAAGGTACGTATTCTTTTCCAGTATTTGGCAGCCCTTTTTTATTCCACGCAAAAGACACTGCTGTTCTATCTTACATATGTATTTTATCTGGGGGGGTTTCTTTTTTTTGTAATTTAGGAGCTAGCACAGAAATTTTCAACCAAGCTGGAGCTCTCTGAAGTTGAAGTGGAAAGCTTACTTGAAGAAATAAGATGCAAAGCTATTGAGCGTGGAACAGGAAATGATGCTTTTAAGAGAACAGGGATAACAACACTTGAAGTGTCTTTAGCTGGAAATAAGGGAAAAGTAAGTCCATGTACAGAAAAATTATGAAAACCGTAATCCATAGTAAAGGCCTTAATGCTCATTAACACTTATGCAAAATGCTTCACTGGTACAAAACAGTCAACATGGTTGTAAGGAGGAGGGAACCCAGGTAGGCCACTCAAAACTATTAAGAAGAATTAAAGAAAAGAAGTATTGGGACTAACTTGATTTCCCTTTTTAAAGTGAATTTGAAATTGACATTTGAATTGAGGAAATTAATTTTGAGAAAATGTTGACTTTTTTTATCTAACGAGCTTTGTTTAAAAGAACAGAGACAGAAAGTGTTTCCTCAGTTTGTTTCTGCTATGAATACCGGAACTACAGTTAGCATGTGGCTATCACTTATACAATCTTTGTCTAATGGCCAATAAACCCCTTATTAAGGTACAATGAAAGTGACCCTAAGGCAGCAATATCAGACCGCATAGAATTAGTTGCTTTAAAAAGGACTCTTACTGAAAAATATATGGTCATGTATCTGAGTACAGTGTTTTAAATGAAATTTAGCTACTTTAAATGGTAGGTGTTCAGCTTTAAATGACACCACATCCTTGTTCTTCCACATTGTTTGGTGTATCTAATTACTTTCCTGAACTACCATCCAACATGCAGTGTCACTTGACACATTAGTTTGAAGTAGCTAAATGCAGTTGGAACCAAGAAGAAAAGATGGATTAGCACAGTAGTTTTAATGTAGTGCAGGTGCTCAACCTCCGGCCCAGAGACTGAATGCGGCCTGCAGAGCTTTTGCATCTGATCCACAGCACTCCCCAGGGGGTGGGAAATTTGACAGTGGGGAGCAGTAGCCGTTAATATAGTCACCCTCCCCCAGCCAAATTTCCAAATGCCTCTGATGGAGTGCCTTTTGGACACTTATCTGTCGGTTTTGTAACATAGCCAGTTTAACATATGGGAGTACTTCTCTTTAAGCAATATTAGGTCTAGACTCTCGTATGTTATTTTACAGCTCTGCAGGGGAGCTGGGACATTCAGGTTTGTGCCCATCTTAAGTCAGTACTGATAATCCCTAATTGTCATGAGTACCAAAAGAAATGACTAAATTTTCATCAGTGCTTAAAATTAAAATAAAATCTTCGTTATATTCTAAAGGCACCAGTCACAGCTCCACAATTATGGGTGAATTAAGTTCTGTACTTTAAAAGCAGAGCTTGCAACTCTTGTTTAACATGCAAGTGCATTTCCTATTTTGTAACATTACACCTTTGTGTTCTGAATGAATGGATTTCTTTTTACATGAGCATTTAAGGCATTTAATGTCCTTTGTTAGGCCATTTTTTTGTTCAAAGGTATTAGATATTGTCTGCCATCAAACATTTCATCTTCAGTATATCTGGTACAATGGATTGTTCTTTATTAGCAGAAAGTGAAAACAAACTTCGTAACTGAAACTTTATTATCCAGTAGAGTCCAAAGAATGCTCTTCAAGGAAATTAACAATGATTAATTACTGCTCTCTTTCAAAGTGGCTCTAATCTCCTATTTTCAGTGTCACTAAAGTCATGGTTTGCTCTTATGGCTTGTATACAGAAAATGTGTCTGCATAACTTTATTGTTATCAGTATATTGCCATAACTCCTTGTACTGATGCTGTTATTCTGAAATAAATCTCCATTGTAGACCAGACTGTAGCAAAGATGGCCACCATCTTTATTCACTGTCTCTTCCTGCATTATTCCCACTAAGAATAATGGAATCCAGGTTTTGTCATTGTTGAGAGCAGTGTGATCTTGCAGTCATTGGGCATCTGTACACATACATTTTCAATGCGCTGGAAATCTGCACACAAACTGACGCGCACTACAGTATGTCGTATGCAGTTGTATAAGCAGCAAAATGTGTGTAAGCGTGCAGAAACTGGTGGCAGTGCACTTTTGAACTAAAACACCTTCAATATCTTTTAGTTCAAAAGCATACTGTCGCTGTTTTCTCAGTGCTGACATGCATTTCGCCCTTTATATAAATGTATGCACTGCAGTGCCAAGTGCTTTTAAAAGTGCCTGGTGCTGCAGTGCAAGCATGTGTACAAATGCCCATTGTGTCAGCAGTGGAAAGTGGTGCCAAGTTTGAAAGATGATAGTAACTTGTTACTGTTTCTAATATGTGTACCCTTCATCGTAAAAGTTTATTTAAGAAAAAATCTACATATTACAGCAGATCCACTGAACAGTAACTGTCAGTCATAGACATGCAGACCAGTTGAAAGTTAAGTTACAGAAAGGCACAGCAAGAGTCTCACTTCTGCTTTGTAAATAAAAGGAAAAAATAAACCATCTAATACGTCTTTAAAAAAATCAGGTTTATTTAATCTGGGATCATAAGTGCTGGGCATTTATCATAACATGACACACAAATAAAGCGGAATTAAGATGGTATGCCTTAATTACATTTCTAGCTTATTTTATATGGATTTGGGTTAAGCTTGAATTTCCTTGAGTTAGTTTTGAATTTCCTGGCTTCATAATGCTTGTTTTTGGGATAATTACAACATTGCTTTCTTCTAATCATTATTAATATATGTCAACTCTAACTGTATCTTAACATACTTTTTATCCGGGAAGGAATTATGGTTGCTGTAATGTAGTTAATTAAAACAACACTCAAAGAATCTAGATGATGTAACTTTAATTTACAAATTTAAAACAGGCTAAAAGAAAAAATTCACTGGAAACTAAACTGGTTATCACTGGCAAGGAGCTCAGATCTCAGTAAGTGTAATAATTCTTGTCATTTCTCTCTTTAATGGTTAGTGTGTTTTTTGTTCATAATCCACCCTTGTGCATACTGCTTTATTACAGTATGTTCTTGATCAGGGAAGCCTAAGATATTTTCATATTGTGGGGTTCTGTCTTGGGATGTTAAGTAGTCATAAACAGAACTCTCCATGTAGCAGCTACAGCACTGGTTCCAGTAGACAAGTGAAATGTGATTTATAGGTAGAAACAAGAAGGACATGATAAACTAGCTCTCCATGGACTCTCACTAAGTACTGAACAGTCCACTTGAAGCCAAGGAAACCTTTTTGAAGATTGCTGCTCTAAATCAGTTTTGAGAGCATGTTTTCCCTTACAGGATAGGAGTGATACCCTACAACTATCCACCCTGCTTAGTACTCTAGCTTTTCCCCACCTGACAGAATGAGTTTACAATTCCCCACAAGTAGTAATGTCACTTTATCTTTAAGCAAAAGTTTGAAGCCACTTACAAATATTTTACCTCTTAATATTTGTTGAAATGTTGGTAAAGTATTGCATATCGTTACGTGGCTATTTATACTCATGGAATTCATAGCATTGCATAGCTGTTTGTACTCATAGAATTAATTGCTTTATTTCACAGGATAGCACAGACATTTGGACTTCAAGAAAATTGTCTCAAAATAATTGTAAATAAGAAGATCCTTGAATTAGGTATGCATTACTAGTTGAATTTCTTTATATTTAGTTTGCAATGTTTCTAAATCATCCCTCTCTCAATGTTGTCAGCCTCTGAAACAACCATGTGGTGGACAATAACAAGCATTATTTTATTCAGTTTTTCTCAAGACCACTTTGGTGTTATTACACTGGGTGCATTCAAAGGAAAGCAAGGAAAACTGAGGGATTCAGAAATGACCTATTTGAAGTTTGATTTAAAGATACAGTAGGACTCAGCTCCTTCATATCCACTTGAGGCACAGACAGAAATGCAGCTCCCCTGTCTAACTCATGGCACTTAGCAGAAAGCACCTTAAGTTAAACCAGTCCTCCCAAGCCAACAGACGTTAGCAGGGAGAGTTTGGCAGGTGGATTGTAACCCCCAGAAAGGACCTCCTTCCCCTGCCTTCTCCCCCACTCCCATTCCGAAAACACTGCCAGGAGCAGTGCTGGGCTGTGTCAGCCAAGCCGTGCTCCCCAGCTTGTGCAGGCACAAATTAATGAAGGTACTTCATTTTGCTGTGCTTTCATCTGAACCCTCATACAATGAAGGCCCTTTTAAAGTGGTCTACAGCCATATACTTATGTATAGTCACAGCTGTAGACTGCTTTCTTGGGCCAGATTGGGTGAAAATTATCATCTCTCTGTGCCTTTGGTTCACAAAGGAAGCCACTTAAGCACTGATCTATCAGCTCATAGGGTTATACTGCTATGCCTTCCATAAGCTTATCTATCTGGGAGTTTTGTCAATTATAAATCACTCTGAGCCTTTTGGATAGGGTGGTATATACATTTAATTAACAAATAACGGAGCAGTGGGGAGGGAGTTTTTGGGAAAAACTCTTAAGTACCTGTCCCTGTTAACTATTCCTGCTTTGAGGATTTTATTTTAAAATGTAGTTATCTAGTTGAATATCATTATTTTCATCAATGCAACTTATTTTGTATATTCATATTGTGTTTTGCAGGCAAAACTCTTGAAGAGCAAGGCATAACACACAATGTAAAAGTCATGGTGCTTGAGCTAATGCATAGCCAGGAGGAAACCAAAAGAAAAGTTCAGGAAGAAGAAAAGCAAAAAGAAGAAGAGGCCCTGAAGGAAAAAGAAATCAAAGATAGGTTGAAAAGAACTAAGAAGGGGTTAGAAATTCTAGCAGAAAGAGGTATTTATGGTTTGTTTTTTTAATTCAATAAAGGACAGTAGCATGCATTGATTAAAAAAATACTTCTGTTGAAAAAGTATTGAGGAAAAGGAGGAAGATGAGGACAGCATTGGATTACAATATAGCCATTTCCAAATAATGGATGTTTTCATTCCTTGGATAGGAGCCCTCGAAGGAAAACACAGACTCATTTGTTCCTTAGTTGATGCTGAACAAATCCTTTGGTAGCTTTTCTAGATGGTATTATGCCACTGTAGGCCCCATCTTATAGAAGACAGGTTAGATGAATTCCTTGGTCTCTTCCCTTTATGGAAATTTTGTAAATGTCAGGCTAGATCCCCGTTTGTATGTCTACATTCTGTCTGTCTGCTTTTAAGTGGGTCTCTTAGTCCAGCTAGTTACAGCATTTGTTTTCATTTTCCGTCTTGGCAGCTCTTGTTGATAATCTTTGTTATTTCTTAAAGCATTTGGAAACTTGAGAAAGGCAGTATATGAATCTATTATCATTTAATTCTGCACTTCCAAGTTAAGGGAATGACAGTACTGAGAACATGCCATGTATTTATTGCAGACTTAGGCAGAGCAGGATGATAAATTATAAGCTGTTATGCACTTTTCTGTAATGTACCTCTGTTATGAACATGAGTAACCATGGTTTCAGTCTGCAAGGTAGTTCAATTGTCATTATGATCTACAATGCGGCCATTCCCCTCTCATTGATTTTGATGGGGACTGCTGGCAGGAGTGGACCGAGTTAAGGGGTCACTGTCAGTTTGAAAGTGGTAGTTTTTCAAACTGTGACTTAAGTAGTTGGAGGCAGTGCAGCTGTCTAGGATTCCCACTGCTAGACTGACACTTTCTACGTTACTTCACCCCCTCTGTTTTCCCAGTTTCTTTCCATGACCCATAAATGGGAGACTGTAAAACTGACTGCACACCATAATGTGGTTTCTCTCAATATAAAGGGTGCAAACAAACAAGTCTCCCTTTATTTTTTCATACAAAATTACATTACTTACAATAATAATCAATGTAAAAAAATACTGAGAAAGCAGTGTTCTTTTGTATTGGCCCATTAGGAAACTTAGATCCTAATCCTTTTGTAAGCTTTTGCAAACAGGGCTGTTCACCTACCTGGACTCTCTAATTTACTTCCAGAAGTTTTGAGCTAGAATCGCTGGTACTTATTGTACAGTGCACTAGAACCCTGGGTCCGCTGAAGGATCCATCTGCCCAGCTGATTACAAGGTTGGGACAAGTCAGTGAACCTAAGAAAGCAGGAAAGAATCGGACCATAATTGCTCAAGCTGAGTAAAGGGGAGTGTGGAAGTTTCCTCAGCTGGCATTTGTACATCCTTTGACTTTTATTCAGCCCAAAGCAAAATGAAAAATTGATTGCTAGGTTCCAAACACCAAAGCAAGACTGGGAAAAATTAAAATACTGAGTTTCTTTTCTTTTGTTTCATCAATTAAAGTGAGTTATTTTATACTTTCTTTTAAATTATCTTTATATCATGAGCTATATGAAATGTATTTTTTTTTGGCCATCAGGAACAGGTGCTTTACAGCACTTGATTGCATCTAAAAATGCAAACCTGAATTGGGAATAGATATTATTCCTCACTGAGATTCCCAAAAGCTCTTCAGGTCTCATTTCCTAAATAGATCTTCCTGCAGCATCAGGTCATTCTTGATCACTGACTCTGGAATCCATATGCTCTTCTCCCATTTAATTTTACATAAGTCTTTACTTAACTAACTTCTTCTTACTACAGATTTTAGACTGTAATCTGACTCTGTCCTTATTGCCGAAGCCCTTGATGGTGATTTAATAGGCACTGCTGTTTTTATGTTGCAGAGGACTATTTGGATCCGGATACCACTCCATATCTTGATATAGCTAATCAAACTGGAAAAACAATCAAGATTCCTCCTCGGGCCAAAAAAGTAAGGAAGATATTATTTCACAATCTTCTTAAACATACTGTATTAAAATTAGATCTGCTACAGGAGCCAACAAAACTTGGTGGGTTATTTGATGCATTTTTCTGAGAGAGAAGGAAGATTGTGCTCAGTACATCTGGGGACATGTTGGTAGTCCCAAGAGAGGCCCTTGTCCAATTCCTGATTTTTTTGATTTTTTTTTTTTTTTGTACCTATCTCCCTGTATTCACAGATTATCTTCATACCTGAAGCCAAGCAGTTTATTTATTATACACCACTCCTATTATATTAGTTTCTAAATCAAGCACTAGGGGCACAGACAGCCATGGGTGGGGGAGCAAAAAAACACTACTGGAAGCAGCAAGACGTTAATTCGACTGGCGCCTCAGCATCTGTATAGATCAGGTGCTTCAGTGGGGCTTTTTGGTTATTTTATCTAACAGCTGAGTTAGATAAAAGGGCCAAAAAAGCCCCACTAAAGTATCATAGTGCTTAGGGTCAGAAGGGACCTAAACAGATCATCAGGTTCGTCCCCTGCCCCGGGCAGGAATGAGTGCTGGGTTCATAACACCCCAGCCAACTATCTAGCCTCCTCTTGAAGACCCCCAAGGTAAGAGAAAGCACCACCTCCCTTGGGAGCCCTAACTGTAAAGTAATGTCTCCTGATGTCAAGCCTGAACCTGCTCTCTAACAATTTGTGGCCGTTATTCCTAGTCACTCCCGGGTGGTGCCTGTGGGAACAGAGCCTCCCCCAATTCCTGCTGGTCCCCTCTGGTGAGCTTGTAAATGGCCACCAGATCCCCACTCAGCCTTCTCTTGTGGAGGCTAAATAGGCCACAAGAGAAGCCTCTCTTCATAGGGCCTGCCCCGCTGCCCCTTGACCATGCAAGTGGCCCTCTTCTGGACCCTCTCAATGCTAGCCACATCCTCTTGAAGTGCAGCACCCGAACTGGATGCAGTACTCCAACTGCGACCTGATCAATGCCACAAAGAGGGAAGGATCACCTCCCTGGACCTGCTTGTGATGCATATGTAGTTGCACGACAAGGTGCAGTTAGCCTTCCTGACTGCTTCCTCGCATTGGCAGCTCGTGTTCATCCTGGAGTCAACAATTACTCCAAAATCCCTTTCTGCCACCATGTTGACAAGAAGGGTGTTCCCCAGATGCAGCCCCTGCACTTGTCTGTTGAATTCCATCCTGTTCTCATCCACCCACCTCTGTAACCTGTCTAGATCTAGCTGGATTCTGTTTCTCCCCTCCAGCGTGCCCACCTTGCCCCACATCTTGCCCTACATCTTGGTGTTGTCAGCAAAGTTGGACAGCATGCTTTCCACACCCACATCCAGATCTCTGATAAAGATGTTGAATAGTACAGACCACAGGATCAAGCCCTGGGGAACTCCACTGCCCACATCCCTCCAGGTCAAAAACAACCCGTCCACTACCACTCTCTGCGTGCAATCATCTAGCCAATTTGCAACCCATCTGACTGTGTAGGCATCAATGCCGCAGTCACCTAGTTTTTTTTGAGAGAATGTGGTGAGAAACAGTGTCAAAGGCTTTGTTAAAGTCCAGAAAGACAGCATCCACCTCAGTGCCCTCGTCCAGGGACTTTATGACCTGATCATAAAAGGAAACCAGGCTAGTCAGGATCTGCCCTCAATTAAACCATGTTGGTTGACCCTAAGCATTACCTCCCCTGCTGGGTCCTTGCAGATGTGTTCCTTGATAAATTTTCTCAAAAGTCTTCCCACAGACTGAGGTGAGACTGACTGGCCTATAATTGCCAGGATCCTCCTTCCTCTCTTTCTTGTAAATGGGGACCACATTGACCCTTTTCCAATCCTCTGGTACCTAGCCAGAGCCCCACGAGCGCTCATACAGCTGTGCCAGGGGCCCTACTATGACCCCCGCCAATTCCCTCAGCACCCTTGGGTGAAGAGTATCTGGACCTGCTGATTTAAACACGCCCAGCCCCTCCAAAAGTTCCCTAACTAAGTCGTCCCTGACCCTAGGCATGGTGGTGCCTCCTCTGGGTCCATCCATAATCCTAGTGGGGGAGATGTCCCGGTCCCTGTTCAGAAATATGGAGGCAAAGAATTCGTTAAAGAGGTGAGCTTTTTTGTTTGCTGCAATCATTGGATTGCCAAGCCTGTCCTGTAGGGTCCCTATGTTACTCAGTGCCACCTTCTTACTCCCTATGTATTTGAAAAAGGACTTTTTGTTATCCCTAATTCTGGTCGCTAGCCCTAGCTCCATCTCTGCCTTGGCCTTCCTAACAGCCTCCCTGCAGTCACAAGCAATGGAGATGTAATCCTCCTTGGTGATAGCCCCTTGCTTCTACTGCTTGTACACCTCCTTTTTTGCCCTCAGGCATTCCGGATGCCTTTTGCCAAGCCATGGTGGCTTTCTAGCACTCCTGCCCCCCTTGGTATGCGATAGGACTGACTCCCTTTGAGCTTGAAGGATTGTCTCCTTGAGCAACCACCCGTCTTGGACTCTCATCTCATTGTAGCTCCGAGACCCCAGTGCCTCTCCTACTAATCTTCTTAGTTCATTGATGTCAAGGACTTTTGCCTTACTGCTTATTTTCATTTGCCTTGCACTGGATAGCAGGCAATGATCACTGTCACGCAGGTGGTCGAGTACGTGCAGAGCCCCCACCAGGTTGTCGCCTGTGGCCAGGACCAGGTCCAGCAAGGCATTTCCCCTGGTGGGACTGTGCACCTCCTGGGTTAGGTGGAGGTCCTGTATCCCGTCTAGGAACCTACGTGAGCAGTCAGACCTGGCTGACTGCTCCTCCCAGCAGATGTCTGGGTAGTTTAGGTCACCCGTGACAACCACATCCCTTGACTTTACAGCCTCTGTGAGCTGACCTGAGAATTCCCGGTCCAGCTCGTCCCCCTGGTGAGGTGGTCTGTAGTAGATGCCCACTATCAAGTCCCTTTCCCCACAACCCCCTTGTATTCTAAGTGCCCGATCTATATAGACATTGGACAAGCCAGGTACAACTAACGCGATGCCTCTTGTGGGCATGTGCTGGGCTCTGCTTGGGATTGTGCCGAGTTTCAAGTAAAACACTGTTTTTTTGGTTTTGGGGTTTGTTTTTGTGGGGGGGATGGGGTTCACATCTGCAAGCAGCTCAGGAATTAAAAAATATTTTCTCTAATAAATTTCAGTCTGTTTCAATCACAAGCTATCAAGGCTGTGAAGATAATGAACTGGGAGTCTCACTAAACATATCTATCTTGTATTGTCCCTGGAAGCTCACCAAATCTAGGTTCTGGCGGACCATGCAAGAAGTTGTTCCCAAGAAGCAGCATGTGGGCAGAGCTTATTTTATTAGCAGAGGAGCCAGGGTCAGGAGGAAAGTTGTATCAATATGCCCTTAGAGAAAATGCCCCATTGGGGAACCCTCACCTGAGGCTATCTTGCTGCTGAGCCTATATAACAGAATGTTAGGACCTGTCAGAGAGAGCATTTTAATCACTTATTCATTTTAATCACTGAGACAAGATAATAGAGGAAGAGAAGGTTCATCTACACATGCTATTAGTGTGATGCAATAAACTCTGGCACAGTTCGCATGGAGTTAACTACTCCTGGGCACAGCGCTTGCGTATGCACCCAGGACCGCAGCCATCTGAGCTAGGGTGAAGCAGTCCCAGGCTGGCAAGTCATCTTAGGTGTGGGGTCAGCCCTGGGCTGCAGGTGGTGTTATTGGGCAATAGAGGGGCTGGCTGGCGCATAAGGGTGATACAGTGCAAGGAAAAGCAGCAAGCAGCCCCCAGTGCTCCAGCCAGCCCCGGTCACTATCTACACGTGCATTTTGGTGGAGTAAATTACTCTACCATAGAATAGTGCCATCCCTGACAGTATTATCCTAGAGTGGAGTTAATTAATTTAGTGCATTCTAATACCAGCACATGTGTATACTGACACTTTACTGCAGAGCTAATTAGTCAACTCCACAAGAAAGGCATGTGTAGATGCACCCAGATAATCTTAGATAATTGGGTGGTGACTCAGTCAGAGATGTAACAAACCCGTAGAAGAGTACCCAGAAACAAAGAACTCGAAAAGGAAGAACATGGAGCACCAGCATAGTGTGTTGATTGTTACCCACTTCCCCGCATGAAGTGCGTCATGTTAATTCCATACCCACTAAAGTTCCTGAAAGATTGACAGAAATTATTCAAATTTGGTCTGTAACATCGGACGTTCATCTATGTATATTAATTTGTGCTGAACACAAAAAAAAGGTTATGAAGAAAGGTTGAGAGAAGTAGGCATGTTTAGTCTGGAGAAAAGGAGATTAACTGCTGGGGGGGGGTACGCATTCATGTTAGCAGTTTTCAAATGTTTGAAAGGCTGCTATAGAGTGGGGGGTGGAATCTTGCCACAGAGGGCAAGATACGTGGCAGTGGATTTAAACAAGCAAAGCAGATTTAGATAAACTCTCAGGAAAACCCTCCCAACTGTCAGAACAGCAGGACCTTGGTCAAATCTGCTTTGGGAAGTTGTGAAATCTTCTTCATTAGAAGTTTCCCAGAAGAACCTGGACATGGATCCCTCCGGGATGGTATATCCTGCTTCTGTGCATGGCTTTGACTGGATGACCCTTGAGGTCCCTTACAACCATATGATTCCATAAAGCTGCACAGATTGGCACCTGTAATGACACTTGTCAAATAGAAACTTAGATTTTCAATAAGAAGTTTTTTCCATTGCCATTCATTATCATGCTGTGAGAGCCAGAACCTTATGAGCATGGGGCTTGCAACTCCACTTGTAACAACCACGATGACCCTTAATTTGGTAACCATGGACCTAAACGTATCTTTATAATTATGCAAGTAGATTAGCGTTTAATCTACTCTGTCTCCTGTTTTCCTAGGCCCTTGTACTAGCTATGGGTTATCATGAGAAGGGAAGAGCATTAATGAAGAAGAAAGAATATGAAGTAGCATTGCCATTCCTGTTGGATGCTGATAAACACTTCTGGTAAGGACCTCTGAGTTTTTGGTCACCTGGCTTTGTATGTTATCAACGAACCAGTTATGGAAAAAGCAGAGTTCATGCCATGTGGTACGTGCTTTGCCTGGTATTCTCCTACAAGCAAGGCGCTTCTACGTGTACAATTAATTCACAGCAATAAATTCCGGTGCATATTGCACCACAGCTTATTGCTCTCGGGTTTGCTGTTTGAACATGCGTGCAGGAACACAACATGTTGAGCCAAGTCGGAGCAGCTCCGGGTAGCAGGGGCCCCCAGGGGTCAGCCTACCAGCCCGGGGCTGCTTCAACCCAGCTCAACATGGTGCAGAGGGCCTGGCCTGGGGCACAAGGGTATTCCAGTGCAGGACTGGCTGGCAGGTAGCTTCTGGACTGAGGCAACATCTACACATGCATGCTGTGCACAAAAAAACTCCAGGGCAGGATAGTACTTGCATTTACAAGTAGTAACCTGCTGTAGGGTTTATTAGTTTCCTGGTGTCTAATAGACACTGAGATATTTACTGCAGAGCTAACTAGGCAACTCCACAGTAAGTGTCTCATATAGACACTCCTGCAAACTGCTAGTGGGCAGTAGGTAATAACTTTCCTTCCATTTAATCTAAATAGCCCCTTTTGGCATCCAGAATAAAAGTTACTCTCTCCATCTGTTTCTTATATGCTAGAACATACTGGGGGACCATCCAAGGAGCAAAGTTTGTATCTCTAGGTCAGTGAGGATAACTGATCTCTGTCCCCTTCCAAAAGGTTACATGGGTTGTAATTCCATCGTGCTTTTGAATGGCACAATACAGTCACTTCATATGTAGCAACAAGACAAGTTAGTATGGATTTATATCAGATATATACTCGTATAAGGGACACTGGTGATGAAAGCGTGGGCCATATAGTTCTGGTAAATTAAAGAGCAATTATATAAATTGTGTTGACATTGGTTTGATGGTTCAACCACAAAATAATTTTGAAAAGCCTGTGATATGTACAACCACAAACATTTTTTTGGCCCAGTCCACCAGGGTAAGAATGGTTGAGAAAGCAACTTAATATGTTGCTGATGTTTTTCAGCGAGTGCGGAACAGATCTTCTGAATACAGTTGATAATTATGCAGTGCTGCAGTTGGATATAGTGTGGTGCTACTTTCGCCTGGAACAGCTCGAATGCCTGGATGACGCGGAGAAAAAGCTTGCCACAGCCCAGAATTGCTTCAAGAGGTGTTACGGGGAAAACCATGAGAGACTTTTCAATATCAAAGTAAGCTGATGTGATTTCATTGGGAATAGCTTTGTTTTAGCAAATTGTACAATCTTTTCTTCCAGTACTTCAGACCTTTTAAAAAAGTTCTCACATCCCCCTTTAGCTTTTATGAACTTTTGCTCATTCCAGCTGTCACATTTTCAACATGGCCTGTATGGCCAATGCACTAAGAACTCAGCACAGCTGTGCATTCCCCTGGCTGTATTCTTAATTCTTCCAGGCTGCCTCACATTTCTCACCTCAGAAAATCATTTTACTTGACTAATTCAGTGTATGTGGTATCATTCCAAGTGTTTTATCAGAGGTACCATGAATTATTGTCAAGTTACATTCTCATCTTGTGTGTTAAGAACAGTGGTGGGAGAGTGTGATCTAGTGGATTCTGCATTGGACAGGAGCTCAGAAAACTCTTCACTATTCCTGACTCTGACACAGGCTTGCTGTATGACTTTGGAAAAGATCTCACCACCACCTGCCTCCGTTTCTGTGTCTGTAAAATGGAAGAAATATAATTTGCCACCTCCTGAAAAGGGTTTTCCAATCTCTAAATAAAACATAGTACCAAGAACAAGGCAATGGTGGCCCTGGCTCTATCACAGCTTGAAGGCAATTCTTTGTATAAGCTGAGGAACTTCTGATTGTGTTTCTCAAAACAGTGTGGAATAAAAGAAAATATTTTTAAAATAAAATTGTTGCTGTGAAGTTTAGCCTGAGATTTTTGGAATCCCCATACTGCAGTCTTGATTCCCTGAGGCCTGGCACTGATCAGTCTTCCTGAAATCTCCCTGTGCAGCACAGGGTTTAGCAGTACCATTCCCTTTAATGCCAACGAAAATAGCAAAGTACCTACCAGTCCTCTCTCTAGTGCACCAAAAAGGTATCTTGTCCCAAATACAGAAGCATGTAGCACCTGGGGAAGGAGACTACAGGCTGCCAGTGATGCTACACTGACAGGATTCTGATGACCAGGTGATTTAAGAGATGTTAAAAGATAGAAAAGACCTTCTGGAAACATTCTTGGACCAGGAGACTTTTCATGCCTTTTTGGATTCCCACCAATATAAAATGTGCAGCTCCAAAGAACAGTCAGATTTGGAACAGGATTTTTTTTTAAATAAAATTTTAAACCAGAGGTTTCATTTTCTTCCACTTCAGTTTTGATTTTGTAGATGTTTGGCGAGTGTCAGCTCAAGCAACTTTCCCAATTTTGCTCATTAATTTTGCTATTCCACAATGTAACACAATAGTATATACAGGACCTTGGTCCAGATGTTAGTTGCATGGTTGGGCCCTTCCACCCCGCAACTCCCCTCGATTTCAGGGGAATCCACTCATATGGATCTAACAGCAGTTTACATGTATATGCACGATCTTCTTTGACGGAAGCTTTTTCACCTCCTTTTCAAATACCACATACTGCCATGACCCCATGTAAATAAATATGTAGCATACCTGGGGTGATGACCAACCAGTGGACTGAAGCTCTGTTGTATGTTAACTTTTGTTGTTGTTGTTCAATTCCTTAGGGAAGTCATGGCAGTGAGAAGGTGTTATTTCTAAGACTTTACCTTCTCCAGGGAATAGGACACTTTCACAATGGTAAAGAAAAAGATGCTGCTGAATATCTGAAGAAGGTAAGTCATTGCAGTGAGCAGGAGGCTCTCTGATCATGTAAGAGAAGCTTTTTTGCAAAAATAAGGTACATATGTGCCTTTTCTCGTGTTCTTCCTCTTCTCCAGCCCTGGTCTGTGGCTGCTCTGGGTGGCTGAGAAGGGACTGCAATTCGTATGCAAGTGACAGCGTTTACTGATTTGCTGTGTTCTCTCTGTGTACAGGCGTATGATTTGTTTCAAGAGCTCTTCATTGATCCTGAAAAAGTCAATTGTCTGTTACTCCTGGGATTCTCTCCTCAGGAAGCTCGCCTTGGTCTGCGAGCTAGCTATGGTGACGTGGATCATGCTGCCAATCTTATCAGCAATAGAAGAGAGGTATGGTGCAGGGAAAAGAATTAAACGAGACAATGTTTGTGTGAGCACTTCTGCTCAGTGATGACATGCCTTGAGTATGAAGCATGATGCAGAACCAAGGCTTTCATCATCCTCATGTTAGTCTCAGTACTGTTTTTAAACAGTTTGCCCTCGATTGTTGCACGTGTGAAATAGATCCCTAAGCGGCAAAGTCTGTCCCACCTTGCACAGGGCTGCAAGGCCCAAAGAACAGCAACTTTACTTCACAGGCACATGAGGAGATGTTGAGCTCCTTGGTTGTATTCCTGGTTTTGACATTGACTGTCTAACTTTGGGCAAGGGTATAGGTCAGGGGTAGGCAACGTTTTTTGGCCAGTGTTAAAAAAACCCACAATGCCTACCTTGGAAGGTGCCGGAGTGCTGGCAAGCCAGAAAAACAAAATGAGGGCAGGGGGTACATGGGAGGATGCCCTGCTTGTGCCCCTGCCCCACAGCTTGGGCTCTGTGGCTGTCAGCAGGTACCTAGAACCTGGGCCAGCTGCAAACATCTGCTGCCTCCCTGCCCCGGCTGTGGCCCCAGCTGCCTCCCAGACCCAGCCCTGGTCTCGGGAGGCAGCACATACTGGCAGTGCTCTCTGCTGTGCTGCCCTTGCCGCTTCTGCAAAGCAGCGTTGGAACCCAGTGCAGCAGGACACAGCAGGGGGTGCAGAAAGCTGCCTGCTCCCAGCTGGTCTGCCACACTTCCCCTGTGTGCATGGGAGCAGTGTGGGCAGCACACAGGGTTGTGCCCCTCACTGCTGGCCCCACGTTCAGGGGAAGTATGGCAGACCAGCTGGGAGCAGGCAGCTTTCTGCGCCCCCCGCTGTGCCCTGCCACGCCGGGTTCCAACACTGCTTTACAGAATTGGTGAGGGGAGCATGGCCAGCATGTGCTACCTCCCCAGAGCCGGGGGCCGGGGCAGAAAGGCAACAGATGTTTGCAGCTGGCCCAGGTTCTGGGTAGCTGCTGATAGCCACAGAGCCTGGGCTGCTCCCATTAGAGCTTGCAGCCTCCCAACTGCCTGCTGGGAGCAGCCTGGGCTCCTGGCTGGCAGCAGCTACCCAGAGCTGGGGCCAGCTGCAGGCGGGGGG